CCAGACACAGAATCAGTATGGAAACACTGGTCTTCAATGACATAACAGGCCAGCTATGTACAGAAATTACATCCAAATGTAACAAGATACACATTCTGCTCAAGCGCACAATAACATTTTTCAGGATAAAACACATATTAGGTCAAAAGCCAAGTCTCAATAAATTCAAGAGGACTGAAATCATATAAAGCATTTTTCCTGACCACAGTGGTATGAAACAGGAAATCAATTAGAAAAAGATAAAAATCATAATCATCTCAACAGATGCAGACAAAATATTTGACAAAATTCAACATCCCCATTTATGATAAAAACTCCAATAAGCTGGATATAGAGGGGACATACCTCCACATAATAAAGGTATATATCACAGACCCACAGCTAGTATCATACTCAGCAGTGAAAAACTGAAATCTTCCTTTAAGACCAGGAGCAAGAAAAGGATGCCTACTATCCCCACTTTTATTCAACATAGTTAGAAATCCTAGCCACAGCAATTAAGTAAGAAAAAGAAATAAAAGGCACACAAATTGGTAAGGGAGAAGTAAAATTCACTATTTTCAGATGACATACTACATATAGACAATCCTAAAGAATCCACTGTAAAGCTACTCAGCTACTAAATGAGCTCAATAAATTTGCAGGATACAAAATCATTATGGAAAAATCTGTTGCATTTTTATACACTAATCATCAAGTACCAGAAAGAGAGATTAAGAAAACAATCTCATTTATAATTGCATCAAAAAAGAGAATACCAAAGAGAGGGAGAGAGAGAGAGAATGCCTAGGAATAAATTTAACCGAGGAGATGAAAGATCTGTATTCCTTTTTTAAAAGGATTTTATTTATTTATTTATTCATAAGATTCATAAGATACACAGGGAGAGAGAGAGAGAGATAGAGAGAAGCAGAGACACAGGCAGAGGGAGAAGCAGGCTCCATACAGGGAGCCCGACGTGGGACTCGATACTGGGTCTCCAGGATCATACTCTGGCTGAAGGCGGCGCTAAACCGCTGAGCCACCCAGGCTGCCCAAAGATGTATTCTTAAAACTATAAAACACTGATGAAAAAAACTGAAGAAGAAAGAAAGAAATAGAAAGTTATTGTGTGCCAGTGGATTAGAAGAATCAATAGTATTAAAAAGTCCATACTACCCAAAGCCATCTACAGATTCAATGCAATCCCTATAAAAATTTTAATGATGTTTTTCACATAATTTGAACAGACAATATCAAATTTCTGTGGAATCACAAATGACCTCAAATAGCCAAAACAATCTTGAGAGAGACAGACAAAACCAAAGGAATCACTCCCACCGATTTCAACCCATTTACAAAGTTATAGTAATTAAAATAGTGTGGTATTGGCATAAAAATAGACACATAGATCAATGGAACAGAATAGAGTCCAGAAGTAAACACACACATACATGGTGAATTAATGTATGACAAAGGAGACAAGAATGTGCAATAGAGAAAGGACAATGGCTTCAATAAATGGTGTTGGGAAAACTGGATACCTACATTCAAAAGCATGAAATTGGGCCACTATCTTACACTGTATATAAAAATCAACTCAAAAAAGGGGTACCTGGGTGGCTTAAGCGTTAATCATCCCACTCCTGATTTCAGCTCAGGTCATGATCTCAGGGTCATGAGACCGAGTCCTGTATTGGGTTCCAGGCTCAGCAGGGTGTCTGCTTGAAATTGTCTTTCTTCCTCTCCTCTGCCCTTCCCTGCCTCATGGGCATGCATTCTCTCTCTCTAAAAAATAAATAAATAAATAAATAAATAAATAGGGATCCCTGGGTGGTGCAGCGGTTTGGCGCCTGCCTTTGGCCCAGGGCGCGATCCTGGAGACCCGGGATCGAATCCCATATCGGGCTCCCGGTGCATGGAGCCTGCTTCTCCCTCTGCCTGTGTCTCTGCCTCTCTCTGTCTGTGACTATCATAAAATAAAAATAAAATTAAAAAAAAATAAAAAAATAAATAAATAAATAAAATTTTAAAAGAAAAAGATTCCCTCTCTCCCTCTACTCCTTTGCCTCTCCCTGCTCAAGTTCTCTCTCTCTTAAAAAAATCAACTCAAAATAGACTTCAATGTAAGACCTGAAATCATAAACTGCTAGAAAAAGACATAAGTGGTAAGTCTTAGCAAATTTTTTTTATGTCTGTGGCTCCTTGACATTGGTCTTAGCAATTTTTTTTATGTCTGTGGCTCCAATGGCAAGGGAAACAAAAGCAAAATTAAACATATGGAATGATTTCTAATTAAATCTATGTGAATAGACATTTTTTAAAGGCATGCAGGTGGCCTACAAGCACATGAAAAAATGCTCAATATTAATAATATCAGGAAAATGCATATCAAAACCACACTGAGATACACCTTACACCTGTAATAATGGCTATTATGAAAAAAGACAAAAAACACGTGTTGACAAGGATGCAGAACTCTTGCATGCTGTACATGGAAACATAAATTGATACAGCTATTATGGAAAGCAGTATGAAGGTTCCTCAAAAATTAAAAATATTGGCACATCTGGGTGGCTCAGTCAGTTTACAGATTGAATCTTAGTTTCAGCTTGGGTCATGATCTGAGGATTTGAGCCTCACATCATGCTCTGCAGTCAGCATGGAGTCTTCTGGAGATTCTCTTCCACTCCCTCTCCCTCCACTCGATTGAGCTTTCTCTCCCTTTCAAATAAAGAAATAGATAAATAGATAAAATCTTTTTAATAAATTAAAAACAGAGCAATCATATAACCAGAAATTCCACTTCTGGGTGTTTTAATCCAAAGAAAACAAAAACATACTTTGAAAAGATATGTGCACCCTTATGTTTGTTGCAGGATTATTTACAATAACCAAGATATGAAAACAACCTCAAAGTCCACCCATGGATGGAATGGATAAGGAAGATGTGGCACATATATAAAATGGAATACTACTCAGCGATAAAAAACAATGAAATTTTGCAACAGTATGGATAGACCTGGAGGCTGAGTAAGTCAGACGAGACAATTCTTCATGATTTCACTTACAAGTTGAATCTCAAAAACAAAACAAACAAACGAACAAAACAAAACACAGACTCCTAGATGCAGAGAAAAGATTAGTCCTTGCAAAAGGGGAGGGGTTGGGGGCAAGGCAAAATGAGTGAAGAGGATCAGCAGCTACAAAGAAACATTATAAATAAATCACGGGGATGTAATGTACAACATGGGCAATACAGTCAATAATATTGAAATAAATTTGTACAGTGATAGATGCTAACAAGGCTTATCATGGTGACAATACTGCAATGTATATTACGTTAAGTCACTATGTTGTATGCCTGAAACAAAAAAAATGTTGTATGTTAATTATTCTTCAATGAAAAATATTAACTTTTTTTGAGGTATACATAGCATACAATAATATACCTAGATTTTAAGGTAGAGACTGATGACTTTTGATGTGTAAACACTATGAATTTAACTTCTTTTAGTCACTGTACCAAAATACCATAGACTGGCTGGCTTCTTTCTCACTGTTGTGGAAACAGGAAGGTCAAGATCAAGTCACCAGCTTGGCAGATTCATTGTCTAGTGAGAGCCGCTTCTTGCTTCAGAGATGGTACCTCTGGCTGAAAACCCACATGCAGGAGAGGCAAGAGATCTCTCTATGGCACCTTTTGTCAAGACAATAATCCCATTCCTGAGGGCTCCACCCTCATGACAGGATCACCTTGCAAGGGCTCCACCTCCTGATACCACCAAACTGGGGGTTGGCATTTCAACCTCTGAATTTTGCAGGGCCACGAACATTCACTCCACAGCACACCCTCATCAATATACATACATTTCCTGTCACTTTTCCTTCGGAAAGTTCCCTCCATTCCTCCACTGCCACATCGGGAAACTACAGATTTGAATTCTAGTCTCATAAACTAAGCCCATTTTTAGACTACACCAGATTTCATCCAAATTAAAACCTACATTAGGTTCGTTTGGTCTAACTCTTTCTGTCATCACAATACCTTGGAGATAAATCCTTGTTCCTACATGATCAGAAGTTAGTTCTGATTTAGAAGGGATTATCTCACTGGGATTAAGCCAGTTTTGTTTACTCACTCATCTCTTAAAATCTGGCTGTTTATTCCCAGGTTGTGGAATAAATTCATGAATTATACTGAACATTCATATACTAAGTATGCATGGGTAATTCCCTAGGGCAGGATTGCTGGATTGCAGGGGAGTATAACTTTATAAGAAACTTCCATTATACATGCTAACTTTTCTACTCATGAACTCCATTTACAATTTCTTTCCAGCAATCATCGCCAAGTGCACTCAAGTGTTGTAAAGTGTGAGGGAATCTAATTCTCTCCTCAGCATTATTTGAAGAAGTTCCCACTGTCCTCTCCAACCTCCGTGTTAATTATGTGTCGATCGCTTATGCCATTTAGTTTGAGAAAGAGAAGTCCTTCCCTCACTGAACTTCCACCAAGTGCACTGATTCTTCCCGTGTGCCTTCTCCAAGAGACCGTGGGACCTTTTGGCCCAGGGACACACACTACTATTCCCAGTGCCTCCCATCTTTTCTCTTCTCTAGGTCCCCTGTGCTCAGACACCCAGCTCACTGAGCACAGCCTCCCCTACTGAGCACATCATTATTATGTAACAGCTTCTCTGCCTCCCCCCCACCCCCTCTGGGGAGGCCTAGTCCCCAGTCCCCAGTCCCTCTCTGCTCTCCTCAGGACTCCACCGCTAGAAAAGTTGCTGTTTCAGGGATCATCTTGCCTACCTCCCACCTGATTACATCTTCTGTGGTCACAGGCTCCTTCACTTATGGGGCCTGCCTGGGCCCAGGCCCACTTGACAGGTAATCTCTGGCTGCCTCTGCTCTGGCTACTCCTGTCCCCAGGCTGCTGCTTCCGTGCCCTCCCAGGATGGCGCTTCACTTCCTCTGAAGTCGTGATTCCCAGGAAGGTGTCCCACAGGGTGGGTGGAATGGAGAGACAAGGCCACCTCTCCTATAAGATTCACTTCGGGGGGCAAAGACATGTGGTTCACATGAAAGTTAAGAAGAACCTGCTGCCCAGACATTTTCCTGTGATCACCGATAACGATCAGGGTGCCATGCAGGAGGACTACCCTTTTGTCCCCCGAGACTGCTACTACTACAGCTACCTGGAAGGGGTCCCTGGGTCCATGGGCACGCTGGACACCTGCAATGGGGGTCTGCGTGGCATGCTGCAGGTCGATGACTTCACGTATGAAATAAAACCGCTGGAGGCTTCTTCCACATTTGAGCACGTGGTTTCCCTGCTTGTGACAGAAGGAAGATCATCAGAGGCTCAAAAGTGTAAGATTGGAGAGCAAGATACAGATCAAGCATATGAGGAGGCAATACTTGCTGGAACTCCTAGAGCAGGCCCTGTGTATTTGTGGTGGCCACATAAGAAATACTTTAAAATCCATTACACCACTACTCTCTCAGTATTTGTGATTGACAGAAATTACACTCGTATTGTACAGGATGTAGTAATTTTGAACAACATAATACATACCATCTTCAAACCAGCCCTCCTGGATGTCTACTTACGTGTTTTGTGCATATGGGATAGAGTCGATAAGTGGGATCTGGAGAGCTTCTTTGCCATTGAAGATCTCATGGCTGATTTTGGTGTGAATAAATACTGGGGTTGGTTTGAGGAAATTCCTCATGACACTTCACTGGTTCTTTCAGCAGAACCAATACTGGGGGCCTCCTATTATGGCCAACACAATGGAGCATGCAATCCTAACTGGGGCGTGGCATACGTATATATAGCAAGATACCACTTATTTTTGGCTGCGACTATTTCAGCACATGTCCTAGGTCACACTTTAGGCGCCGTTCATGATACACCCGGTTGTATTTGCTTTCGAAGAAAGCACTGCGTCATGGCTCCTCAGCCTGATTTATTGGATATGATGAGCAATTGTACTTATGACAGTCTGCATAGCAAGGTCAATACTTGGGATCCTTGTTTAAGCATACCAAATGTACCATACACCAATTATCCTTACGTAGCTGCTCGTTGTGGTGACCTGGTCGTGGACAGGAGGGAAGAATGTGACTGTGGCTCCTTAAAACAGTGCTCTAAGAATAAGTGTTGCACCACCACTTGTGCCCTCTCCCTTGGCAGTGACTGCAATGGAGGATCCTGCTGTGTTAACTGCAAATATGCTCAACCTGGACTGCTTTGCAGAGACATACTCGGAGTTTGTGATCTCCCAGAATACTGTGATGGGAGATCGCATAATTGTCCTAATGACGTTTACACCCAGGATGGAACCCCATGTTCAACGTTAGCTGTCTGTGTGAGAGGAAACTGTACTGATCGTGATATGCAGTGTCAATCCCTTTTTGGCTATGGAATAAAAGATGCTGCACCAGCATGCTATGAAAAACTGAACGTATTAGGTGATCGATTTGGGAACTGTGGTGTGAGGGTGGTACGAGGAGGAGGAAAACCTGTTAGATGTGAAGAAGATGATGTTCTTTGTGGAATGCTGCACTGTCGTGATGTTCAAGAAATTCCTGGTGGAGGTGACCACGTTACATTTCGTCATATAATAGTACATGATGTTCAGAGAGAGTTATGCTTTGGATACGATGCACACCATGGGACAGAGATCCCAGAAATGGGGCTAGTTGTGGATGGGGCAACATGTGGTCCAGGAAAATACTGCTTGAATCAGAATTGTACTTTTTATCAAGACATGGGTTTTGACTGTGATGTCAGTACATGCAATTTCAGAGGAGTGTGTAACAGCAAGAAACACTGTCACTGTATGAGAGGTTGGAAACCCCCAACATGTGAAGAGAAAGGAGCAGGTGGTAGTATAGATAGTGGCCCTCCACCTGACAGAGAATATGGTTTTCGAACCAGAATAATTTTTAGTATACACCAAACAATACTTCTACTGATTATTCGCTTAAGTCTTTTTCTGATTTCAGGCATCACTGGTGCCTCTCATCACTTAGAAGATATAAAAGAGGAGGATGAAGAACAAAAATGACCTAGACTCAAATGAATACTAACTTGATGTGCCAGATGAAGAAAATCATATTGGTAGGACCAGGAAAAATGACCAATAATCACTCTGATAATTACGTAGTCCTTTAGCCACTCTGAGGTTGTCATCTTAAAATAAAACAAGTTGGCCATTTAACATGAGGTCGTCTCTTTTAATATATGTAACATTTCCTTTCTAGCCATACCCTTACTATTCCTACAGCGGATAGTAGAACACTCTTCTATTCATTAGCAAGAGACCAGTAGTACTCTTGTTAAGATGTGGAATCCAGCGTTTTACAAATGATTGGGTAGCAAACCTTGTTTGCATGGGTATGCACCAGATTTAACAAGTTTTTGGACCATTTCCCAATTGGCCATATACTAGATTTCTGTTATTTGTTCATTTTACTGCTCCTGTTAAACAAATGGCACTTAAAGTGACAGTTGGAAGATATGGTAGGATGGTAAGAACTTTTCTGTCAAGGCACATGGGTGCCAACAGATCTACCTACCACCTGCCAAGTACCGGCTCTTGGACAAAGCCTCAGGCCATGAGTTTCAAGGTCCATGTTACATTGGGAGATGCAATGCACTTTGCCAGGATTTTGTGGTGATCAGAGGAAAGCACCCAAGAAGGGCCTGGAACACGTTAGGCACTTAATATATGCCATTATTCTCGCTATTCTCATTATTCCTCTTGGGCTATGCTAACCCTGAGGCATTTCAGCAGAATGAGTTTGGCATTGTATCTTTATCACTTTTTTTTTAGAGTTCATTTATTGATTTGAGTGAGACAGTGAAGTGAAATAAAGAGACAGAGAGAGAGAGAGACAGAGAGACAGAGAGAGACAGAGAGCACCTGCACGAGCAGGGAGGGAGAGGGGCGAGGGAGAGGGAAAGAAGCAGACTCACCTGCAGAGCGGGGAGTATGGCCCAGGGCTCCATCCCAGGATTCTGGAATTATGACCTAAGCTGAAGGCAGACAATTAACTGACTGAGCCCCCCATGTATCCCCATTGTGTCTTGATTATAAAACCATCACAGGAGGAACTGTCCATCCCTGACTGATACATCACGGCTTAAGGCCCCTGGCTGTTGGAGTCGTAGGAACTCACATTTCATACCTTAGGAATTGCCTGAGCACAGGCTGTCTGTAAAGTACGAGGCAGAACTGACCATCTAATACGTGTACGGACAAAACATTTACACAAAAGGGAACAGGAAGAGATCGCTTCAGAAATCGTGCAAGAGAAGAAGAGGGTCCCATAAGGGACATGTGGTACATTAGTGCTATGGAAATGCCTCAGGCCTCAGATCCAAGTTCTTTCTGAAAGTATGGAGTCTAGGTGAGAATAGCACGAAAGGGTCGTGGCAGGACACAGCAAGAGAGAATCAACAGGAGTGCCACTCTGAGCCATTGTGATCCGTCCATGTTTTCTAGAGCTCTCTTACCTTCTCGTCCAGGTGGCTTATGTGGTAGAGTGGCCTGGACCATCATCCATGACAGGTCTGAGCCCCTGTTGACTATGTCCTTGTCAAACATGTGCTTCTTCATTGGCACTTGGCACCAGGATCTACTGTCCGCCAATGAATAAATCATGGGAATAAAAGGCACAGCCTAGGGAATATAGTCCCTATATGATGTTGCAACAGCATTGTGACAGATGGTAGCTTCATTTGTGGCAAGCAGAGCAGGACTTACTGGAAGAAGTTGAATCAACTGTATTGTACACCTGAAAGTAATGTAACACTGTGTGTCAGCTATCTCAAATAAAGAAACATTTTAAACCACAGTAAGATGCCACGACACAGCCCCTGGGGTGGCAAAAACAAATGTTAAGACTGACAACACCAAGGGCCAAGGAGGATATGAAGCAACCATAGTTCTCCTCTATTGCCGGGGGAGGGGGGGGGATGCAAAACTATAGAGGTCATTGGAAAACGGTTTGTCTGTTTCCTACCAAGGTCAGCACACACTGGACTACACACTCAGCGATCCTCCTTCTAAATGGCACTGAGAACATGGGTCCGTACAAAGAACTGCAGGCAGATGCTCACAACAGCCTTGTTCACAATAGCCCCCAAGTGAAAACAACCCAAATGTCCATCAGCGGCGAATGAATCAACCAAGAGTGGTATAGCCACACGATGGACTGCTACTTGGCAATAAAGAGGAACCAGTTACTGACTCACGCAACAACATGGGGGTGGATCTCAAAATGGTGCTGAGTGAACAAAGTCAGATCCAGTAGACTGACTGCAGGACTGTGTGGCTCTATTTCCTATGACATCGGGGGAAAGGCAAAACTGTGGGGACAGAGAGCAGATTGGTGGTCGTCAGGGACTGGAGGGAGGGGGCTGACTGCAGAGGGGCACAGGGAAGGTCTTGGGGGCAAAGGGTATGTTCCGTGTCTTGACTGGGGTAGCGGCGTCATGACCGCATACATTTGGCGGATTATATTCTATACCAGTTATACCTCAAGAAATCTCCCTTTACAAACAACAACAACTACAACGAAGAGTCTTCCACCTGCAGCGTGATGATGAGAGCTGTTACTCCACATGCCAAGCACCCTGTGGGGATGTTGTTCTAACTGCCAAAGACACCAAGCCCAGTCATATACCTGGAGACTCGGGGAAGCGACCCCGGGCTTGGGCTGCAGACCACTGAACCCACTGTGGGCTGTGTATCAGCTAGGACTCCACTTATTGCCTGACATGGTACCTTTGTGCAGTGCCCCCACCCCCACAAGGCTGAAGAAGCTGTTCATTCACTCTGCTCTTCCTTTCTTGGTAAGAGGGAAAATTTCTAGCTGGGAAGTTCTGTCTCGGTGTTCAACAATGCTGGGCTGGGCATGGGATGATGCAGGCAAAATGAAGGCCTCCCTCTCCTCTGGTACGATTGACTGTTCTGGGTGATTTTGTTCCACCGTGTTGCTAAAACGCTCTAAGTGAACTCTAGACATCTGCCAGAGCTGTTTTTGTCTGTGGGTAGCAGTTTAACTGTTGCTCTTTGTGGGGGCATGGGAAGGCTGGGTTTGCTGGAGCCAATTCTTCTCCAGCTCTGAACTTGCCAACGTTTTAGAGCTTCAGACCCCCTTCAAACTATTGGAGACAATGAATGACACCCAGGACCCTGTCCAGGGTGATCCATTGCCATGGGAGTAAGGTCAAGGGATGGGAGGGGCCGCTCTGGGGCTTACTCAGCCTCTCAAGAAACCCTGGGTTTTGGGAAACGTGATCCAAAGACGATGGTGAAAAAAATCAATCCATCCACCCATCCACTCATCCACCCCATCCACCCATCCACCCCATCCACCCCATCCATTCATCCATCCATCCATCCATCCATCCACCCATCCACCCCATCCACCCATCCACCCATCCACCCCGTCCATTCATCCATCCATCCATCCACCCATCCACCCCATCCACCCCATCCATTCATCCATCCATCCATCCATCCAATCACTGTGGCCCACGTATGGTGACAGATGGTAGCTGCACTTGTCAGAGAGGCATAGCTGTGGTGATGTTTACACTGGCCCACTCACTGTTGTGGACCAGAAACTATGTCACATGGATGTCAACTATACTCCAGTACAATAATATCGAGTCACTGAAGCCCAGCCTTGCAGAGTACCACCTGGGGGGCTCACAGTGTCACAGGCTGGAGAGGGGGATCCTCAAGTATCGGGGTCTGGGCAGGTGCAGCTCTCCAGGCCACTGGGCTCTCGAGGCTGGTTCAGTCACCTGCCAGAGCCAGGGAGGGGGTCGGAGAGCCCTTGCTCTGGGAAGAGCTGAAGGGGGTAGCCTAGACATTGCTCCCAAATCCTGTGTAGGTGTGTGAGTTCTGCTGCTGCCGGCTATGAGTTTTAGCAGGTCTCTGCGCCCCCTGGGCCTGACTCCTCACCACCTGGTCTCTGTGAGGATAATGGAGTAAGGTGAGTTCACAAAGCGCCTGCCCCCTGGGGGCCTCAGTAAGGGTAGCTGCCACAAAGGTGATGGTGATGGGGTACCATCTCCAGAGAACGGAGTCCAGTCCAGGCCCACTGCTCCCCCAACCTGCCCCACCCTGCCCAGGTAAGAGGGTGTGGCTGTGTCAGCATTGTTGACCCAAGAGGACGGTGACCAAGATAGGGCGCCCAGGCTCTGCCAAGCATCCCTGAAGCGCGCGCGCGGCCGCGCGCCTGTGTGCGCGGGGTATCCCTGCCACCTCTGAGAAGCCCTACCTGTCCCTTGCAGGATTCAGCCCACTCTCCCACTCACTTCGTTACCTGCACTGGGGGTTCCCGGCACGCCGGCCTCTGTGCCCTCGACCTGGGGGCTGTCCCCACCCTGCACTGCAGCTTCTTCTCAACCCCGAGTCTTGCTGAAATGTCCTCTCCTCAGGAGATCCTCCCGGACACCTGACATCTTCTGTTGGCTGCTTTTCTCATTTGTCCTCGGTCCCCTCCACTGGACTGAGTTCTGTAAGGATCTCACCCACCCATCCTACTCCCTGCTGCAACCCCAGCTCCAAGCCCGAGCCAATTTGCTCTCCACCCAGTGGAGCACCAGTCACCCGACTGCAGTCTTCACATTCCCCCAAGACCCTGTCACAGCCCTCGGGCACCCCTTCCCTCACCTCGGCCCCATCCCCATGGGGGTAGCCATGCCTCTCAACTCTGCATCAGGCAAGCCCAGAACTGTGTGTGGTCCTGCTGAAGGGGACTGTCTTGATGAGGGCTAGCCATATCTGTGGGCCTGAAACTCCACCATTAGCACTCATCCCTCTGGCTTGTCCCAAACGGTCACTGGGTATCTGCCTATCTGGGCTGGGACCCCGGCTGGGCGCTGGGAACACAGGGTTAGTCTGACTTGGAAAACTCCCAGTCTGAGAACAGGGATGCACAAGGCAGGGGACACAGCCAATCACAGCAGGTGAGGCCTGCTATGATGGATGAGGCAAAGAAACAGGGGTTGGGGGACATGTGGCCCCTGGCTCAGTGGCTCCCAGTCACACTTGGGTAGGGGAATTTGAGCAAGTGGTGGTGGCCAAAAGACCAGCAGCCACCTGCTCCTCCGACTCCCACCCAGCAGCCCTGCCAGGCCATCTCCATGTCCCTTCTCCTGGGCCGTGGGGCAAGAGCCACTTCCCACTCCTGGCATGGCTGCTCCCTCAGGCCCAGTCTGCTCCTCTCTATTCCAGGCTGTGTGTGTGTGAGGCAGTCAGAGCCCTCAGGGCACTTCCAAAACATGCACGTCTGCCACTGCCCCAGGTCTGGCATCTGTCTTGCCCTCTGAGGTTCACATGCTTCCTTCTCTGCCCAGTGGGGGCTGGGGGCGCTGGAGATCCAGCATGGAGGATGCCCATCTCAGAGTCCCAGGCCTCTCTGAACTGAGAGTCAGAGACCTGGGTTCTGATTGCCGTGTGACCTTGGCCAAGTCACTGTCCTTCTCTGGACCTCAGTGCCCTCATTTGTGGAGTGCGGGTGGATTCACACTAGGGGTTTATGCTTTCTGCACCCTGCACTTCAGTGACGGAGCCATATCGGACTTTAAGCACACAGGAAAAATGCTCATTTGTTCATTCTACAAATTCATGCTCCATGTTTTTTAGGTGCCAGCCGAATGAATATGGTCATTTTACAGTGGTCATGCTTCAGAAATTAGAACAAAAGATTGATTCCAACACAAAGGTTTTCAGAAGTGTAGGAGATAGACAATTGATGGCTCCCTAGATGGTTTGCAGCTTCAGTAGTTTAGTTACTGGTGAAAATCCCACCAAAATCTCCAATTTGAGCCATTTACGGCTCTTGGTGAGTAAACATTTGTTTTGAGGTTATAAAACACTTTTTTTCTGGCTAGGAGGTAGATTGTTCATGTTCTTTGTTTCCTTTCTGGTACGAGGAGAAAAAGAGATCAGTACTCAAATGCTGTTTATTTTTGTAAATAAAAATTTACAGGACAGGGTGGGGAAGCCTTTGAGTCCTTTAGGAGAGATTATCATCCCAGTAGTTTCCTAGGAGTATTCACTATGTCTCATTACAACATCCTTTCATATATAAGGTGACACGGTGCCAGACTATGAATTCTGTGTATTATTCAACAAAATACATTGCATAGCAACTTCTCTCTTTTCCTCTCTTGATTAGCTCAAAAGTGGAAAAGAAGATATGTCATAACAACTTTAGGGCACCTGGGTGGCTCAGTCAGTTAAGCGTCTGCCTGCGGCTCGGGTTGTGACCTAGGGGTTCTGGGATGGAGCCCCTTGTCAGTCTCCCTGCTCACTGGGGAGTCTGCTTCTCCCTCCTCCTGCTCCCCACTTGTGCTCTCTCTGTCTCTCAAATAAATAAATAAATAAATAAATAAATAAATAAACAAACAATTAAGTAAAATCTTTAAAAATACTAATTGTGACTTTAAAGGTCGGTCCCATAGTTGTGGACAACAGGGTGACCATGGTGCCGCTGGGACCATGGGCCCCCGTGAGCTGGGGAATCCGATGCAGACAGGGCATGTGGTCGCCTACAGCCTGACACCCTGTGGAGTAGCACACCTTCCTGTCCTGCTTCAACAAAGGCATCCCCAGCATGCGGCACTGCACCTGGTGTCCATCCTGTGTGACACCACCATCTGTAGTGTATTGTGTACACGGTGGGGACCGAGGAGTTCTGAGTATTCCCAGAGGAAGACTCCAGCTGCCTATGAAAACGACAAATGAGCCAACTCACTGGGATAAAGATTCTCTGTCTCTGAGAGACCGTTCTCTGTCTACACTTCATCCTAAAGACACCATAAACTGTTTATGAGTCACACACACACACACACACACACACACACACACACACACACACACACACACAAGTCTCTTTAAGCCTTCAGAATCCAGCAGTCTGCAGCCCCGAAGAGGGCTCCTCTCAGAACCGGACCAAGCTGGCATTCCCCTCTAGACTCCATCCCCTTCCAGAACTTTAATCACTCTAGAGGTGAATGGTATGCTACTTGGACCCTAGGAGATCATGCCTGGAGCAAATGGGGAGAAAAGATGAGTGAAAAGTGACATTGGCCACATGATGGCCCAGATGAATTCAGAGCACCTTCCGACCAAGCCTCACTCTGGATCTTTCAATAATACGTAGATATTTTCTGAATAAAAATAAATAAATAAATTCAAAAAGGGTGTTGCCTGTGTTCTCCTCTAGGATTTTGATGGATTCTTGTCTCACATTTAGATCCTTCATCCATTTTGAGTTTATCTTTGTGTCTGGTGTAAGAGAATGGTCTAGTTTCATTCTTCTGCACGTGGCTGTCCAATTTTCCCAGCACCATTTATTGAAGAGACTGTCCTTTTTCCAGTGGATAGTCTTTCCTGCTTTGTCGAATGCTAGTTGACCATAGAGTTGAGGGCCCATTTCTGGGTTCTCTATTCTGTTCCATTGATCTTTGTGTCTGTTTTTGTGCCAGTGCCACACTGTCTTAATGATCACAGCTTTGTAGTATAACTTAAAGTCTGGCACTGTGATGCCCCCGGGTCTGGTTTTCTTTTTCAATATTCCCCTGGCTGTTCGGTGTCCTTTCTGATTCCACACAAATCTTAAGATGATTTGTTCCAACTCTCTGAAGAAAGTCCATGGTATTTTGATAGGGATTGCACTGAACGTGCAAATTGCCCTGGGTAGCATTGGCATCTTCACAATATTAATTCTTCCAATCCATGAGCATGGAATATTTTTCCATCTCTTTGTGTCTTCCTCAATTTCTTTCAGAAGTGTTCCGTAGTTTTTAGGGTATAGATCCTTTACCTCTTTGGTCAGGTTTATTCCTAGATACTTATGCTTTAGCGTTCAATTGTAACACCCTTTCTGAACTTGGCCCCTGCAACTTCTTGCAAGATATATCTGTGAAGGCAGGGGAAACAAAAGCAAAAATGAACCATTGGGACTTGATCAAGATAAAAGGCTTCTGCACAACAAAACTAAAAGACAACCAACGGAACCGGAGAAGATATTTGCAAATGACGTATCAGATAAAGGGCTCGCATCCAAGGTCTATAAAAAACTTATTAAACTCAACGGCAAAGAAACAAACAATCCAATCATGAAATGGGCAAAAGACAGGAACGGAAATTTCACCCAAGAAGACATACACATGACCAATAAGCACATGAGAAAATGCTCCGCATCCCTTGCCGTCAGGGAAATACAAAGCAAAACCACAATGAGATACCACCTCACCCCAGTGAGAATGGTGAAAATGAACAAGACAGGAAACAACAAATGTTGGAGGGGATGTGGCGAAAGGGGAACCCTCCTGCACCGTTGGTGGGCATGTGAACTGGTACAGCCACTCTGCAAAACAGTGTGGAGGTTCCTCAAAGAGTTAAAAATAGAGCTACCCTACGACCCAGCAATTGCACTACTAGGGATTTACCCCAAAGATACAGATTCAGTGAAAAGCGGAGACACCTGCACCCCAATGTTTATAGCAGCAATGTCCCCAATAGCCAAACTGTGGAAGGAGCCTCGGTGTCCGTCGAAAGATGAATGGATAAAGAAGCTGTGGTCTATGTATACAATGGAATATTACCCAGTCATTAGAGACAACAAATACCCACCATTTGCTTCGACGTGGATGGAACTGGAGGTTTTATGCTGAGTGAAGTGAGTCAATCGAGAAGGACAAACGTTATATGGTTTCACTCACATGGGGAATATAAAAAATAGTGAAAGGGATTATAGGGGAAAGGAGAGACCATGAGTGGGAAAAATCAGAGAGGGTGACAGAACATGAGAGACTCCTACCTCTGGGAAACGAACAAGGGGTAGCAGAAGGGGGGAGGTGGGCAGGGGGATGGGGTGACTGGGTGACGGCCACTGAGGGGGGCACTTGACGGAATGAGCACTGGGTGCTGGGTGTTATATGCTGGCAAATCGAACTCCAATAAAAAAAATATACAAAAAAAGTAAAATAAAATAAGTTAGATGCCTCCAAGATACAACAGCGCAACAGGCAAAGGATGGACACTGCCTTTCCAAAAGGAAGAAATAGGGAAGAAAGGACTGACAGATCCCAAGCAAGTCCAGAACCTTAGGGCAATAGAGTAATCCTCTTTGGCTCCATGCTCCTCTCTCCGGGGATCTCATCCCACCTCCTGGACCCACTAGAGTGGAAGGCCTGCCTTCCAGATACACCGCGGTAGCGATCCTACCTCCGCAGCCTTGCCAGACAGGGGTGGGACACCCATACCACAGTTCTCCCTGTGCCTATGGCTGTTGTGGGCTGAAACAATGTATGAGTGGCTCTAAAAGTCTGGGGACTGACTTGTTTTATTATACACGCTAACTTTTCTGCTCATGACCTCCATTTACAATTTCTTTCCAGCAATCATCGCCAAGTGCACTCAAGTGTTGTAAAGTGTGAGGGAATCTAATTCTCTCCTCAGCATTATTTGAAGAAGTTCCCACTGTCCTCTCCAACCTCCGTGTTAATTATGTGTCGATCGCTTATGCCATTTAGTTTGAGAAAGAGAAGTCCTTCCCTCACTGAACTTCCACCAAGTGCACTGATTCTTCCCGTGTGCCTTCTCCAAGAGACCGTGGGACCTTTTGGCCCAGGGACACACACTACTATTCCCAGTGCCTCCCATCTTTTCTCTTCTCTAGGTCCCCTGTGCTCAGACACCCAGCTCACTGAGCACAGCCTCCCCTACTGAGCACATCATTATTATGTAACAGCTTCTCTGCCTCCCCCCCACCCCCTCTGGGGAGGCCTAGTCCCCAGTCCCCAGTCCCTCTCTGCTCTCCTCAGGACTCCACCGCTAGAAAAGTTGCTGTTTCAGGGATCATCTTGCCTACCTCCCACCTGATTACATCTTCTGTGGTCACAGGCTCCTTCACTTATGGGGCCTGCCTGGGCCCAGGCCCACTTGACAGGTAATCTCTGGCTGCCTCTGCTCTGGCTACTCCTGTCCCCAGGCTGCTGCTTCCGTGCCCTCCCAGGATGGCGCTTCACTTCCTCTGAAGTCGTGATTCCCAGGAAGGTGTCCCACAGGGTGGGTGGAATGGAGAGACAAGGCCACCTCTCCTATAAGATTCACTTCGGGGGGCAAAGACATGTGGTTCACATGAAAGTTAAGAAGAACCTGCTGCCCAGACATTTTCCTGTGATCACCGATAACGATCAGGGTGCCATGCAGGAGGACTACCCTTTTGTCCCCCGAGACTGCTACTACTACAGCTACCTGGAAGGGGTCCCTGGGTCCATGGGCACGCTGGACACCTGCAATGGGGGTCTGCGTGGCATGCTGCAGGTCGATGACTTCACGTATGAAATAAAACCGCTGGAGGCTTCTTCCACATTTGAGCACGTGGTTTCCCTGCTTGTGACAGAAGGAAGATCATCAGAGGCTCAAAAGTGTAAGATTGGAGAGCAAGATACAGATCAAGCATATGAGGAGGCAATACTTGCTGGAACTCCTAGAGCAGGCCCTGTGTATTTGTGGTGGCCACATAAGAAATACTTTAAAATCCATTACACCACTACTCTCTCAGTATTTGTGATTGACAGAAATTACACTCGTATTGTACAGGATGTAGTAATTTTGAACAACATAATACATACCATCTTCAAACCAGCCCTCCTGGATGTCTACTTACGTGTTTTGTGCATATGGGATAGAGTCGATAAGTGGGATCTGGAGAGCTTCTTTGCCATTGAAGATCTCATGGCTGATTTTGGTGTGAATAAATACTGGGGTTGGTTTGAGGAAATTCCTCATGACACTTCACTGGTTCTTTCAGCAGAACCAATACTGGGGGCCTCCTATTATGGCCAACACAATGGAGCATGCAATCCTAACTGGGGCGTGGCATACGTATATATAGCAAGATACCACTTATTTTTGGCTGCGACTATTTCAGCACATGTCCTAGGTCACACTTTAGGCGCCGTTCATGATACACCCGGTTGTATTTGCTTTCGAAGAAAGCACTGCGTCATGGCTCCTCAGCCTGATTTATTGGATATGATGAGCAATTGTACTTATGACAGTCTGCATAGCAAGGTCAATACTTGGGATCCTTGTTTAAGCATACCAAATGTACCATACACCAATTATCCTTACGTAGCTGCTCGTTGTGGTGACCTGGTCGTGGACAGGAGGGAAGAATGTGACTGTGGCTCCTTAAAACAGTGCTCTAAGAATAAGTGTTGCACCACCACTTGTGCCCTCTCCCTTGGCAGTGACTGCAATGGAGGATCCTGCTGTGTTAACTGCAAATATGCTCAACCTGGACTGCTTTGCAGAGACATACTCGGAGTTTGTGATCTCCCAGAATACTGTGATGGGAGATCGCATAATTGTCCTAATGACGTTTACACCCAGGATGGAACCCCATGTTCAACGTTAGCTGTCTGTGTGAGAGGAAACTGTACTGATCGTGATATGCAGTGTCAATCCCTTTTTGGCTATGGAATAAAAGATGCTGCACCAGCATGCTATGAAAAACTGAACGTATTAGGTGATCGATTTGGGAACTGTGGTGTGAGGGTGGTACGAGGAGGAGGAAAACCTGTTAGATGTGAAGAAGATGATGTTCTTTGTGGAATGCTGCACTGTCGTGATGTTCAAGAAATTCCTGGTGGAGGTGACCACGTTACATTTCGTCACATAGTAGTAACATGATATTAATCAAGAGAATATGCTTTGGATATGATGCACACCATGGGACAGAGATCCCACAAATGGGGCTAGTTGTGGATGGGGCAACATGTGGTCCAGGAAAATACTGCTTGAATCAGAATTGTACTTTTTATCAAGACATGGGTTTTGACTGTGATGTCAGTACATGCAATTTCAGAGGAGTGTGTAACAGCAAGAAACACTGTCACTGTATGAGAGGTTGGAAACCCCCAACATGTGAAGAGAAAGGAGCAGGTGGTAGTATAGATAGTGGCCCTCCACCTGACAGAGAATATGGTTTCAAACCAAAATAATGTATAACATAAACCAAGCAATACTTCTAATGACTTTTCGCTTAATTATTTTCCTGATTACAGGCATTATTGGGACCTTTTGCTATTTGAAGACAGGTAATAAGAGGGGTGAAGAACAAAAATTACCTCCATAAGGTAAATACTGACAGGAATGGACAGATGAAGAAAATCATACTGGCACAGACTAGGAGAAATGATCAAGAATATCTCTGATAATTACATAGTCCTTTAGCCACTCTGAGGTTCTCATCCTAAAATAAAATGACTTGGCCATTAAACATGAGGTCGTCTCTTTTAATATATGTAACATTTCCTTTCTAGCCATACTCTTACTATTCCTACCAGGGATAGTAGAACACTCTTCTATTCATTAGCAAGAGACCAGTAGTACTCTTGTTAAGATGTGGAATCCAGCATTTTACAAATGATTGGGTAGCAAACCTTGTTTGCATGGGTATGCACCAGATTTAACAAGTTTTTGGACCATTTCCCAATTGGCCATATACTAGATTTCTGTTATTTGTTCATTTTACTGCTCCTGTTAAACAAATGGCACTTAAAGTGACAGTTGGAAGATATGGTAGGATGGTAAGAACTTTTCTGTCAAGGCACATGGGTGCCAACAGATCTACCTACCACCTGCCAAGTACCGGCTCTTGGACAAAGCCTCAGGCCATGAGTTTCAAGGTCCATGTTACATTGGGAGATGCAATGCACTTTGCCAGGATTTTGTGGTGATCAGAGGAAAGCACCCAAGAAGGGCCTGGAACACGTTAGGCACTTAATATATGCCATTATTCTCGCTATTCTCATTATTCCTCTTGGGCTATGCTAACCCTGAGGCATTCCAGCAGAATGAGTTTGGCATTGTATCTTTATCACTTTTTTTTTAGAGTTCATTTATTGATTTGAGAGAGACAGTGAAGTGAAATAGAGAGAGAGACAGAGAGAGAGAGAGACAGAGAGAGACAGAGAGCACCTGCACGAGCAGGGAGGGAGAGGGGCAGAGGGAGAGGGAAAGAAGCAGACTCACCTGCAGAGCGGGGAGTATGGCCCAGGGCTCCATCCCAGGATTCTGGAATCATGACCTGAGCTGAAGGCAGACACTTAACTGACTGAGCCCCCCATGTATCCCCATTGTGTCTTGATTATAAAACCATCACAGAAGGAACTGTCCATCCCTGACTGATACATCACGGCTTAAGGCACCTGGCTGTTGGAGTCATAGGAACTCACATTTCATACCTTAGGAATTGCCTGATCACAGGCTGTCTGTAAAGTACGAGGCAGAACTGACCGTCTGATACGTGTACGGACAAAACATTTACACAAAAGGGAACAGGAAGAGATCGCTTCAGAAATCGTGCAAGAGAAGAAGAGGGTCCCATAAGGGACATGTGGTACATTAGTGCTATGGAAATGCCTCAGGCCTCAGATCCAAGTTCTTTCTGAAAGTATGGAGTCCAGGTGAGAATAGCACGAAAGGGTCGAGGAAGGACACAGCAAGAGAGAATCAACAGGAGTGCCACTCTGAGTCATTGTGATCCGTCCATGTTTTCTAGAGCTCTCTTACCTTCTCGTCCAGGTGGCTTATGTGGTAGAGTGGCCTGGACCATCATCCATGACAGGTCTGAGCCCCTGTTGACTATGTCCTTGTCAAACATGTGCTTCTGCATTGGCACTTGGCACCAGGATCTACTGTCCGCCAATGAATAAATCACGGGAATAAAAGGCACAGCCTAGGGAATATAGTCCATATGATGTTGCAACAGCATTGTGACAGATGGTAGCTTCATTTGTGGCAAGCAGAGCAGGACTTACTGGAAGAAGTTGAATCAACTGTATTGTACACCTGAAAGTAATGTAACACTGTGTGTCAGCTATCTCAAATAAAGAAACATTTTAAACCACAGTAAGATGCCACACACAGCCCCTGGGGTGGCAAAAACAAATGTTAAGACTGACAACACCAAGGGCCAAGGAGGATATGAAGCAACCATAGTTCTCCTCTATTGCCGGGGGAGGGGGGGGATGCAAAACTATAGAGGTCATTGGAAAATGGTTTGTCTGTTTCCTACCAAGGTCAGCACACACTGGACTACACACTCAGCGATCCTCCTTCTAAATGGCACTGAGAACATGGGTCCGTACAAAGAACTGCAGGCAGATGCTCACAACAGCCTTGTTCACAATAGCCCCCAAGTGAAAACAACCCAAATGTCCATCAGCGGCGAATGAATCAACCAAGAGTGGTATAGCCACACGATGGACTGCTACTTGGCAATAAAGAGGAACCAGTTACTGACTCACGCAACAACATGGGGGTGGATCTCAAAATGGTGCTGAGTGAACAAAGTCAGATCCAGTAGACTGACTGCAGGACTGTGTGGCTCTATTTCCTATGACATCGGGGGAAAGGCAAAACTGTGGGGACAGAGAGCAGATTGGTGGTCGTCAGGGACTGGAGGGAGGGGGCTGACTGCAGAGGGGCACAGGGAAGGTCTTGGGGGCAAAGGGTATGTTCCGTGTCTTGACTGGGGTAGCGGCGTCATGACCGCATACATTTGGCGGATTATATTCTATACCAGTTATACCTCAAGAAATCTCCCTTTACAAACAACAACAACTACAACGAAGAGTCTTCCACCTGCAGCGTGATGATGAGAGCTGTTACTCCACATGCCAAGCACCCTGTGGGGATGTTGTTCTAACTGCCAAAGACACCAAGCCCAGTCATATACCTGGAGACTCGGGGAAGCGACCCCGGGCTTGGGCTGCAGACCACTGAACCCACTGTGGGCTGTGTATCAGCTAGGACTCCACTTATTGCCTGACATGGTACCTTTGTGCAGTGCCCCCACCCCCACAAGGCTGAAGAAGCTGTTCATTCACTCTGCTCTTCCTTTCTTGGTAAGAGGGAAAATTTCTAGCTGGGAAGTTCTGTCTCGGTGTTCAACAATGCTGGGCTGGGCATGGGATGATGCAGGCAAAATGAAGGCCTCCCTCTCCTCTGGTACGATTGACTGTTCTGGGTGATTTTGTTCCACCGTGTTGCTAAAACGCTCTAAGTGAACTCTAGACATCTGCCAGAGCTGTTTTTGTCTGTGGGTAGCAGTTTAACTGTTGCTCTTTGTGGGGGCATGGGAAGGCTGGGTTTGCTGGAGCCAATTCTTCTCCAGCTCTGAACTTGCCAACGTTTTAGAGCTTCAGACCCCCTTCAAACTATTGGAGACAATGAATGACACCCAGGACCCTGTCCAGGGTGATCCATTGCCATGGGAGTAAGGTCAAGGGATGGGAGGGGCCGCTCTGGGGCTTACTCAGCCTCTCAAGAAACCCTGGGTTTTGGGAAACGTGATCCAAAGACGATGGTGAAAAAAATCAATCCATCCACCCATCCACTCATCCACCCCATCCACCCATCCACCCCATCCACCCCATCCATTCATCCATCCATCCATCCATCCATCCACCCATCCACCCCATCCACCCATCCACCCATCCACCCCGTCCATTCATCCATCCATCCATCCACCCATCCACCCCATCCACCCCATCCATTCATCCATCCATCCATCCATCCAATCACTGTGGCCCACGTATGGTGACAGATGGTAGCTGCACTTGTCAGAGAGGCATAGCTGTGGTGATGTTTACACTGGCCCACTCACTGTTGTGGACCAGAAACTATGTCACATGGATGTCAACTATACTCCAGTACAATAATATCGAGTCACTGAAGCCCAGCCTTGCAGAGTACCACCTGGGGGGCTCACAGTGTCACAGGCTGGAGAGGGGGATCCTCAAGTATCGGGGTCTGGGCAGGTGCAGCTCTCCAGGCCACTGGGCTCTCGAGGCTGGTTCAGTCACCTGCCAGAGCCAGGGAGGGGGTCGGAGAGCCCTTGCTCTGGGAAGAGCTGAAGGGGGTAGCCTAGACATTGCTCCCAAATCCTGTGTAGGTGTGTGAGTTCTGCTGCTGCCGGCTATGAGTTTTAGCAGGTCTCTGCGCCCCCTGGGCCTGACTCCTCACCACCTGGTCTCTGTGAGGATAATGGAGTAAGGTGAGTTCACAAAGCGCCTGCCCCCTGGGGGCCTCAGTAAGGGTAGCTGCCACAAAGGTGATGGTGATGGGGTACCATCTCCAGAGAACGGAGTCCAGTCCAGGCCCACTGCTCCCCCAACCTGCCCCACCCTGCCCAGGTAAGAGGGTGTGGCTGTGTCAGCATTGTTGACCCAAGAGGACGGTGACCAAGATAGGGCGCCCAGGCTCTGCCAAGCATCCCTGAAGCGCGCGCGCGGCCGCGCGCCTGTGTGCGCGGGGTATCCCTGCCACCTCTGAGAAGCCCTACCTGTCCCTTGCAGGATTCAGCCCACTCTCCCACTCACTTCGTTACCTGCACTGGGGGTTCCCGGCACGCCGGCCTCTGTGCCCTCGACCTGGGGGCTGTCCCCACCCTGCACTGCAGCTTCTTCTCAACCCCGAGTCTTGCTGAAATGTCCTCTCCTCAGGAGATCCTCCCGGACACCTGACATCTTCTGTTGGCTGCTTTTCTCATTTGTCCTCGGTCCCCTCCACTGGACTGAGTTCTGTAAGGATCTCACCCACCCATCCTACTCCCTGCTGCAACCCCAGCTCCAAGCCCGAGCCAATTTGCTCTCCACCCAGTGGAGCACCAGTCACCCGACTGCAGTCTTCACATTCCCCCAAGACCCTGTCACAGCCCTCGGGCACCCCTTCCCTCACCTCGGCCCCATCCCCATGGGGGTAGCCATGCCTCTCAACTCTGCATCAGGCAAGCCCAGAACTGTGTGTGGTCCTGCTGAAGGGGACTGTCTTGATGAGGGCTAGCCATATCTGTGGGCCTGAAACTCCACCATTAGCACTCATCCCTCTGGCTTGTCCCAAACGGTCACTGGGTATCTGCCTATCTGGGCTGGGACCCCGGCTGGGCGCTGGGAACACAGGGTTAGTCTGACTTGGAAAACTCCCAGTCTGAGAACAGGGATGCACAAGGCAGGGGACACAGCCAATCACAGCAGGTGAGGCCTGCTATGATGGATGAGGCAAAGAAACAGGGGTTGGGGGACATGTGGCCCCTGGCTCAGTGGCTCCCAGTCACACTTGGGTAGGGGAATTTGAGCAAGTGGTGGTGGCCAAAAGACCAGCAGCCACCTGCTCCTCCGACTCCCACCCAGCAGCCCTGCCAGGCCATCTCCATGTCCCTTCTCCTGGGCCGTGGGGCAAGAGCCACTTCCCACTCCTGGCATGGCTGCTCCCTCAGGCCCAGTCTGCTCCTCTCTATTCCAGGCTGTGTGTGTGTGAGGCAGTCAGAGCCCTCAGGGCACTTCCAAAACATGCACGTCTGCCACTGCCCCAGGTCTGGCATCTGTCTTGCCCTCTGAGGTTCACATGCTTCCTTCTCTGCCCAGTGGGGGCTGGGGGCGCTGGAGATCCAGCATGGAGGATGCCCATCTCAGAGTCCCAGGCCTCTCTGAACTGAGAGTCAGAGACCTGGGTTCTGATTGCCGTGTGACCTTGGCCAAGTCACTGTCCTTCTCTGGACCTCAGTGCCCTCATTTGTGGAGTGCGGGTGGATTCACACTAGGGGTTTATGCTTTCTGCACCCTGCACTTCAGTGACGGAGCCATATCGGACTTTAAGCACACAGGAAAAATGCTCATTTGTTCATTCTACAAATTCATGCTCCATGTTTTTTAGGTGCCAGCCGAATGAATATGGTCATTTTACAGTGGTCATGCTTCAGAAATTAGAACAAAAGATTGATTCCAACACAAAGGTTTTCAGAAGTGTAGGAGATAGACAATTGATGGCTCCCTAGATGGTTTGCAGCTTCAGTAGTTTAGTTACTGGTGAAAATCCCACCAAAATCTCCAATTTGAGCCATTTACGGCTCTTGGTGAGTAAACATTTGTTTTGAGGTTATAAAACACTTTTTTTCTGGCTAGGAGGTAGATTGTTCATGTTCTTTGTTTCCTTTCTGGTACGAGGAGAAAAAGAGATCAGTACTCAAATGCTGTTTATTTTTGTAAATAAAAATTTACAGGACAGGGTGGGGAAGCCTTTGAGTCCTTTAGGAGAGATTATCATCCCAGTAGTTTCCTAGGAGTATTCACTATGTCTCATTACAACATCCTTTCATATATAAGGTGACACGGTGCCAGACTATGAATTCTGTGTATTATTCAACAAAATACATTGCATAGCAACTTCTCTCTTTTCCTCTCTTGATTAGCTCAAAAGTGGAAAAGAAGATATGTCATAACAACTTTAGGGCACCTGGGTGGCTCAGTCAGTTAAGCGTCTGCCTGCGGCTCGGGTTGTGACCTAGGGGTTCTGGGATGGAGCCCCTTGTCAGTCTCCCTGCTCACTGGGGAGTCTGCTTCTCCCTCCTCCTGCTCCCCACTTGTGCTCTCTCTGTCTCTCAAATAAATAAATAAATAAATAAATAAATAAATAAACAAACAATTAAGTAAAATCTTTAAAAATACTAATTGTGACTTTAAAGGTCGGTCCCATAGTTGTGGACAACAGGGTGACCATGGTGCCGCTGGGACCATGGGCCCCCGTGAGCTGGGGAATCCGATGCAGACAGGGCATGTGGTCGCCTACAGCCTGACACCCTGTGGAGTAGCACACCTTCCTGTCCTGCTTCAACAAAGGCATCCCCAGCATGCGGCACTGCACCTGGTGTCCATCCTGTGTGACACCACCATCTGTAGTGTATTGTGTACACGGTGGGGACCGAGGAGTTCTGAGTATTCCCAGAGGAAGACTCCAGCTGCCTATGAAAACGACAAATGAGCCAACTCACTGGGATAAAGATTCTCTGTCTCTGAGAGACCGTTCTCTGTCTACACTTCATCCTAAAGACACCATAAACTGTTTATGAGTCACACACACACACACACACACAACACACACACACACACACACACACACACACAAGTCTCTTTAAGCCTTCAGAATCCAGCAGTCTGCAGCCCCGAAGAGGGCTCCTCTCAGAACCGGACCAAGCTGGCATTCCCCTCTAGACTCCATCCCCTTCCAGAACTTTAATCACTCTAGAGGTGAATGGTATGCTACTTGGACCCTAGGAGATCATGCCTGGAGCAAATGGGGAGAAAAGATGAGTGAAAAGTGACATTGGCCACATGATGGCCCAGATGAATTCAGAGCACCTTCCGACCAAGCCTCACTCTGGATCTTTCAATAATACGTAGATATTTTCTGAATAAAAATAAATAAATAAATTCAAAAAGGGTGTTGCCTGTGTTCTCCTCTAGGATTTTGATGGATTCTTGTCTCACATTTAGATCCTTCATCCATTTTGAGTTTATCTTTGTGTCTGGTGTAAGAGAATGGTCTAGTTTCATTCTTCTGCACGTGGCTGTCCAATTTTCCCAGCACCATTTATTGAAGAGACTGTCCTTTTTCCAGTGGATAGTCTTTCCTGCTTTGTCGAATGCTAGTTGACCATAGAGTTGAGGGCCCATTTCTGGGTTCTCTATTCTGTTCCATTGATCTTTGTGTCTGTTTTTGTGCCAGTGCCACACTGTCTTAATGATCACAGCTTTGTAGTATAACTTAAAGTCTGGCACTGTGATGCCCCCGGGTCTGGTTTTCTTTTTCAATATTCCCCTGGCTGTTCGGTGTCCTTTCTGATTCCACACAAATCTTAAGATGATTTGTTCCAACTCTCTGAAGAAAGTCCATGGTATTTTGATAGGGATTGCACTGAACGTGCAAATTGCCCTGGGTAGCATTGGCATCTTCACAATATTAATTCTTCCAATCCATGAGCATGGAATATTTTTCCATCTCTTTGTGTCTTCCTCAATTTCTTTCAGAAGTGTTCCGTAGTTTTTAGGGTATAGATCCTTTACCTCTTTGGTCAGGTTTATTCCTAGATACTTATGCTTTAGCGTTCAATTGTAACACCCTTTCTGAACTTGGCCCCTGCAACTTCTTGCAAGATATATCTGTGAAGGCAGGGGAAACAAAAGCAAAAATGAACCATTGGGACTTGATCAAGATAAAAGGCTTCTGCACAACAAAACTAAAAGACAACCAACGGAACCGGAGAAGATATTTGCAAATGACGTATCAGATAAAGGGCTCGCATCCAAGGTCTATAAAAAACTTATTAAACTCAACGGCAAAGAAACAAACAATCCAATCATGAAATGGGCAAAAGACAGGAACGGAAATTTCACCCAAGAAGACATACACATGACCAATAAGCACATGAGAAAATGCTCCGCATCCCTTGCCGTCAGGGAAATACAAAGCAAAACCACAATGAGATACCACCTCACCCCAGTGAGAATGGTGAAAATGAACAAGACAGGAAACAACAAATGTTGGAGGGGATGTGGCGAAAGGGGAACCCTCCTGCACCGTTGGTGGGCATGTGAACTGGTACAGCCACTCTGCAAAACAGTGTGGAGGTTCCTCAAAGAGTTAAAAATAGAGCTACCCTACGACCCAGCAATTGCACTACTAGGGATTTACCCCAAAGATACAGATTCAGTGAAAAGCGGAGACACCTGCACCCCAATGTTTATAGCAGCAATGTCCCCAATAGCCAAACTGTGGAAGGAGCCTCGGTGTCCGTCGAAAGATGAATGGATAAAGAAGCTGTGGTCTATGTATACAATGGAATATTACCCAGTCATTAGAGACAACAAATACCCACCATTTGCTTCGACGTGGATGGAACTGGAGGTTTTATGCTGAGTGAAGTGAGTCAATCGAGAAGGACAAACGTTATATGGTTTCACTCACATGGGGAATATAAAAAATAGTGAAAGGGATTATAGGGGAAAGGAGAGACCATGAGTGGGAAAAATCAGAGAGGGTGACAGAACATGAGAGACTCCTACCTCTGGGAAACGAACAAGGGGTAGCAGAAGGGGGGAGGTGGGCAGGGGGATGGGGTGACTGGGTGACGGCCACTGAGGGGGGCACTTGACGGAATGAGCACTGGGTGCTGGGTGTTATATGCTGGCAAATCGAACTCCAATAAAAAAAATATACAAAAAAAGTAAAATAAAATAAGTTAGATGCCTCCAAGATACAACAGCGCAACAGGCAAAGGATGGACACTGCCTTTCCAAAAGGAAGAAATAGGGAAGAAAGGACTGACAGATCCCAAGCAAGTCCAGAACCTTAGGGCAATAGAGTAATCCTCTTTGGCTCCATGCTCCTCTCTCCGGGGATCTCATCCCACCTCCTGGACCCACTAGAGTGGAAGGCCTGCCTTCCAGATACACCGCGGTAGCGATCCTACCTCCGCAGCCTTGCCAGACAGGGGTGGGACACCCATACCACAGTTCTCCCTGTGCCTATGGCTGTTGTGGGCTGAAACAATGTATGAGTGGCTCTAAAAGTCTGGGGACTGACTTGTTTTATTATACACGCTAACTTTTCTGCTCATGACCTCCATTTACAATTTCTTTCCAGCAATCATCGCCAAGTGCACTCAAGTGTTGTAAAGTGTGAGGGAATCTAATTCTCTCCTCAGCATTATTTGAAGAAGTTCCCACTGTCCTCTCCAACCTCCGTGTTAATTATGTGTCGATCGCTTATGCCATTTAGTTTGAGAAAGAGAAGTCCTTCCCTCACTGAACTTCCACCAAGTGCACTGATTCTTCCCGTGTGCCTTCTCCAAGAGACCGTGGGACCTTTTGGCCCAGGGACACACACTACTATTCCCAGTGCCTCCCATCTTTTCTCTTCTCTAGGTCCCCTGTGCTCAGACACCCAGCTCACTGAGCACAGCCTCCCCTACTGAGCACATCATTATTATGTAACAGCTTCTCTGCCTCCCCCCCACCCCCTCTGGGGAGGCCTAGTCCCCAGTCCCCAGTCCCTCTCTGCTCTCCTCAGGACTCCACCGCTAGAAAAGTTGCTGTTTCAGGGATCATCTTGCCTACCTCCCACCTGATTACATCTTCTGTGGTCACAGGCTCCTTCACTTATGGGGCCTGCCTGGGCCCAGGCCCACTTGACAGGTAATCTCTGGCTGCCTCTGCTCTGGCTACTCCTGTCCCCAGGCTGCTGCTTCCGTGCCCTCCCAGGATGGCGCTTCACTTCCTCTGAAGTCGTGATTCCCAGGAAGGTGTCCCACAGGGTGGGTGGAATGGAGAGACAAGGCCACCTCTCCTATAAGATTCACTTCGGGGGGCAAAGACATGTGGTTCACATGAAAGTTAAGAAGAACCTGCTGCCCAGACATTTTCCTGTGATCACCGATAACGATCAGGGTGCCATGCAGGAGGACTACCCTTTTGTCCCCCGAGACTGCTACTACTACAGCTACCTGGAAGGGGTCCCTGGGTCCATGGGCACGCTGGACACCTGCAATGGGGGTCTGCGTGGCATGCTGCAGGTCGATGACTTCACGTATGAAATAAAACCGCTGGAGGCTTCTTCCACATTTGAGCACGTGGTTTCCCTGCTTGTGACAGAAGGAAGATCATCAGAGGCTCAAAAGTGTAAGATTGGAGAGCAAGATACAGATCAAGCATATGAGGAGGCAATACTTGCTGGAACTCCTAGAGCAGGCCCTGTGTATTTGTGGCGGCTACATAGGAAATACTTAAAAATTCACTACACAATTTCTCACTCTTTATATTTGATGAGGCCTAATATAACACAGATAATAGAGGGTGTGGTGATGATAAACAGCATACTTCACACAATTTACCAACAATCTCTTATAAATGTCTATGTACGTCTTTTGTGCATATGGAATGATCGGGATCATGTAGAAATAACAAAGAAAAAATCAGCATATTCTGCTGTAGAAGACTTTGGCTTGTGGAAATATTATGGATTTTTCTATAAGATTGAACATGATACTTCCCTACTTCTTACAGGACATAAGATTGTAGGAAGTATATACTTTGCCCACCATGGTGGAACATGCAACCCCAACTGGGGAGCAATGTTTGTGTATGTAGCAAATTATCACATATTCTTGGCTGGGGGTATTTCAGCACACACCTTAGGTCACAGTTTAAACCTAGTCCATGATGTATTTGGTTGTAAATGTTTTAGAAGAAGCCACTGTGTCATGAGTGAACAGCCTGGTTTAATGGATATGTTGAGTAATTGTTCTTATGACAGCCTGCACCGTCGGGTTAGTGGATGGGATCCTTGTATGAGCATACCGAATGTACCATACACCAATTTTCCTTATGTAGCTCCTCGTTGTGGTGACAAGATTAGAAATCAGTTGGAAGAATGTGACTGTGGCTCCCTTAAAGACTGCAATGACAATAAATGTTGTGAGACCAATTGTGCCCTTTCCCTTGGGAGTGACTGCAGCGAAGGATCCTGTTGCGTTAACTGCAAATATGCTCAACCTGGACTGCTTTGCAGAGACATACTCGGAGTTTGTGATCTCCCAGAATACTGTGATGGGAGATCGCATAATTGTCCTAATGACGTTTACACCCAGGATGGAACCCCATGTTCAACGTTAGCTGTCTGTGTGAGAGGAAACTGTACTGATCGTGATATGCAGTGTCAATCCCTTTTTGGCTATGGAATAAAAGATGCTGCACCAGCATGCTATGAAAAACTGAACGTATTAGGTGATCGATTTGGGAACTGTGGTGTGAGGGTGGTACGAGGAGGAGGAAAACCTGTTAGATGTGAAGAAGATGATGTTCTTTGTGGAATGCTGCACTGTCGTGATGTTCAAGAAATTCCTGGTGGAGGTGACCACGTTACATTTCGTCACATAGTAGTAACAGATATTAATCAAGAAAAATGCTTTGGATATGATGCACACCATGGGACAGAGATCCCACAAATGGGGCTAGTTGTGGATGGGGCAACATGTGGTCCAGGAAAATACTGCTTGAATCAGAATTGTACTTTTTATCAAGACATGGGTTTTGACTGTGATGTCAGTACATGCAATTTCAGAGGAGTGTGTAACAGCAAGAAACACTGTCACTGTATGAGAGGTTGGAAACCCCCAACATGTGAAGAGAAAGGAGCAGGTGGTAGTATAGATAGTGGCCCTCCACCTGACAGAGAATATGTTCTAAAAAGCAAAGTAATCGTTAGTGTAAACAGGGCACTAGCTTTAATATTGATTCGTACATTACTTTTCCTGACTGGGTTAATCATTGGACTCTTTTTCCAATTAAAAAAAAGGTACTGAGGAGCACAAAACATAAACCTTCGAAGCATCAATATTTCAGTTAGTTAATACCAGTATATGCACAAAATGGACAAAATAACATTGACCGCTGGAAAAAATGATCAATAATCACTCTTATAATTATACATTCCCGAATTTATCCTGAGCTTGTCATCCTCAAATAAAGTGTCCTGGCAAAAAAAAAAAAAAAAGTAACCTGTGTGTTTGTTAAGATGTGGAATCCAGCGTTTTACAAATGATTGGGTAAGCAAACTTGTTGGCATGGGTACGCACCAGATTTAACAAGTTTTTGGACCATTTCCCAATTGGCCATATACTAGATTTCTGTTATTTTTTCATTTTACTGCTCCTGTTAAACAAATAGCACTTAAAGTGACAGTTGGAAGATATGGTAGGATGGTAAGAACTTTTCTGTCAAGGCACATGGGTGCCAACAGATCTACCTACCGCCTGCCAAGTACCGGCTCTTGGACAAAGCCTCAGGCCATGAGTTTCAAGGTCCATGTTACATTGGGAGATGCAATGCACTTTGCCAGGATTTTGTGGTGATCAGAGGAAAGCACCCAAAAAGGGCCTGGAACACGTTAGGCACTTAATATATGCCATTATTCTCGCTATTCTCATTATTCCTCTTGGGCTATGCTAACCCTGAGGCATTCCAGCAGAATGAGTTTGGCATTGTATCTTTATCACTTTTTTTTAGAGTTCATTTATTGATTTGAGAGAGACAGTGAAGTGAAATAGAGAGAGAGACAGAGAGAGAGAGACAGAGAGAGACAGAGAGCACCTGCACGAGCAGGGAGGGAGAGGGGCAGAGGGAGAGGGAAAGAAGCAGACTCACCTGCAGAGCGGGGAGTATGGCCCAGGGCTCCATCCCAGGATTCTGGAATCATGACCTGAGCTGAAGGCAGACACTTAACTGACTGAGCCCCCCATGTATCCCCATTGTGTCTTGATTATAAAACCATCACAGAAGGAACTGTCCATCCCTGACTGATACATCAGGGCTTAAGGCCCCTGGCTGTTGGAGTCATAGGAACTCACATTTCATACCTTAGGAATTGCCTGAGCACAGGCTGTCTGTAAAGTACGAGGCAGAACTGACCGTCTGATACGTGTACGGACAAAACATTTACACAAAAGGGAACAGGAAGAGATCGCTTCAGAAATCGTGCAAGAGAAGAAAAGGGTCCCATAAGGGACATGTGGTACATTAGTGCTATGGAAATGCCTCAGGCCTCAGATCCAAGTTCTTTCTGAAAGTATGGAGTCCAGGTGAGAATAGCACGAAAGGGTCGAGGAAGGACACAGCAAGAGAGAATCAACAGGAGTGCCACTCTGAGCCATTGTGATCCGTCCATGTTTTCTAGAGCTCTCTTACCTTCTCGTCCAGGTGGCTTATGTGGTAGAGTGGCCTGGACCATCATCCATGACAGGTCTGAGCCCCTGTTGACTATGTCCTTGTCAAACATGTGCTTCTGCATTGGCACTTGGCACCAGGATCTACTGTCCGCCAATGAATAAATCACGGGAATAAAAGGCACAGCCTAGGGAATATAGTCAATGATGTTGCAACAGCATTGTGACAGATGGTAGCTTCATTTGTGGCAAGCAGAGCAGGACTTACTGGAAGAAGTTGAATCAACTGTATTGTACACCTGAAAGTAATGTAACACTGTGTGTCAGCTATCTCAAATAAAGAAACATTTTAAACCACAGTAAGATGCCACGACACAGCCCCTGGGGTGGCAAAAACAAATGTTAAGACTGACAACACCAAGGGCCAAGGAGGATATGAAGCAACCATAGTTCTCCTCTATTGCCGGGGGAGGGGGGGGATGCAAAACTATAGAGGTCATTGGAAAATGGTTTGTCTGTTTCCTACCAAGGTCAGCACACACTGGACTACACACTCAGCGATCCTCCTTCTAAATGGCACTGAGAACATGGGTCCGTACAAAGAACTGCAGGCAGATGCTCACAACAGCCTTGTTCACAATAGCCCCCAAGTGAAAACAACCCAAATGTCCATCAGCGGCGAATGAATCAACCAAGAGTGGTATAGCCACACGATGGACTGCTACTTGGCAATAAAGAGGAACCAGTTACTGACTCACGCAACAACATGGGGGTGGATCTCAAAATGGTGCTGAGTGAACAAAGTCAGATCCAGTAGACTGACTGCAGGACTGTGTGGCTCTATTTCCTATGACATCGGGGGAAAGGCAAAACTGTGGGGACAGAGAGCAGATTGGTGGTCGTCAGGGACTGGAGGGAGGGGGCTGACTGCAGAGGGGCACAGGGAAGGTCTTGGGGGCAAAGGGTATGTTCCGTGTCTTGACTGGGGTAGCGGCGTCATGACCGCATACATTTGGCGGATTATATTCTATACCAGTTATACCTCAAGAAATCTCCCTTTACAAACAACAACAACTACAACGAAGAGTCTTCCACCTGCAGCGTGATGATGAGAGCTGTTACTCCACATGCCAAGCACCCTGTGGGGATGTTGTTCTAACTGCCAAAGACACCAAGCCCAGTCATATACCTGGAGACTCGGGGAAGCGACCCCGGGCTTGGGCTGCAGACCACTGAACCCACTGTGGGCTGTGTATCAGCTAGGACTCCACTTACTGTCTGATGCCCATAAGCTCCCACTCTAACATGGTGTATGATGATGCTTTGGAGTTCTGAGTATTAATGTCAATGCAGAGACAATGTGTGAGAATCCAAAGTATTTCTCTATTCCTAGTGTACAGGCTCTCAGGGTAATGGCCATCAAGCTCGTGTAGGCGTGGGACGGGGAGAATTGATAGGTTACCTTGTGTCCCATTATGTTGATAGGTCCTTCCTCCTAGGGACACTGTTCAATCTGTTCAGTTCATAGTTGTCTGCCTCTGCAAATCCTCTTTGCTCCAGGAACTGCACAAGCATCATGATTTTTTATTGTTGTAACCATTCTCAGCCTCCTCCTTTTCCAGTTTTGCCTTCTTCCATTGTAGATGTTAGAAGCGCTCTGTTTGCCACTGGAGATCTTGTGCTTGTGACCACCACAAAAGTCCCTATAGTTGAATCCCCTTTGCTACCTCTCCAATCTTGAGCAGTTTTAGGGTCATCGTGGGTCCCTGGCTGCGGCCACTTGGGTTCTGTTACTTGGAGAGACCTCATTATTGCCATAGGTGCTAAAAAACAGCGTTCCGTGCCAATCTGTCTTATCAATCAGACTGGCCTGTAGAGGAGAGACACAATTGAACTCCTAAGAGGTGATGTTTCTACTTGCACCAGCAGTTTGGTTGTTTTCCTTTCATTGAGGTATAATTGACCTGTAGCATATTGACCTGTAGCATCATATCCGTTTCAAGTTGGCAGTGTAATTGTTCAACGTGTGTACATATGGCAATAGACACAGCCATAAGTCTAGTTAACATCTGTCACCATAGTTACAGGAAAGCTTTTTCTTGCCATGAGAACTTTGAAGATCTACTCTCTCAATAACTTTCAAATACAGAATGCAGTATTATTAACGATGGTCACCATGCTGTACACCACCTCCCCAGGGCTTATTGATGACACGACTGGAAATTTGTGCCTTTTGACCCCCCACACTCCTGTATTGCTCACCCCTCTGCCTCTTCCTCTGGCAACCACTGGTCTGTTCTGTGTCTTTACCAAGTACATTCCGATGGGTCCTCTGGGCTCACATCATATATGCAGGGTAGCATGCCTATCTCTCTCAGCCTTGTTGTGCCAGCAAGCATGGTAAATGAGCATTTCGACTTTGTCCAGGACAGGCTATTGTTTTCTACCTGCTTCTGAGTTCCTCTAGAAGTGCGTGGGCCTCATTCCCTGGGACCATTGTCCTTGCCTCACACGGATTCTTGCATCTACTTTGGTGTGATCCCATTCTTCTCAGAGTGGTGCATGGGACTTATCCAGCCAGGTTATGCCAGGTATGGCACTGCAGCCCCCATGTGAGGGAGGGCAGCCAGGAGGAGGAGTGGGGACGGTTCCTTGTGGGAAGACAAGCTCTGAGAATTCATATGGTCCTGTGGAGCCCATATTTTCAGGGATATATACCCAGAGGTCACAATCTCCTGTTTAAAACACCTGGTTTCCCTAGCATAATTATATACTTGCTCTGGAGGACTATGGAAAAGTCCCTGCAGCTCTTGGGCCCTCTGATACTGAGATTGCTCCTCAGCTATGATTTCTCTTCCATGCCAGGAGATAAGGGCCCTTTGGTAAGCAACTAAAGAAGCTTTCTGGCATTCATATATGGCCTTTACTGTTTAGTAACCTACAAGAGTCCCCCAGTTCCCTTTTTTCTCGTTACCTTTGACAGGGCCTCAACACAACTTGGTCATAACCCACCAAATCTGCCATCCTTGGAGACATTACAGCTTGCATGTGGTTCAAATGCCTAATTCATTGCACATGAGAGGGTGTTGCCCTGTCAGGACCTTTCCCGGGGTCACCACTGGTAAATTCCTCAGCGTTAGGCTACCTACCACCTTGTGCCAGGGATTACCTTTTCTTCACATTCTTCTTGGGAGAGAGTCCTCCTTGACAGCTGAGTGTTGACTGAGCATGGCCCTAAGCTCATCTTTCTCTTATGGCAGATCACTATCAGCACCACTGTCTTTGGAGAAGTGGATGTCAAGACAGGATTAGACCTTCGGGAGGTTCATGGAAGGAAAGTTTGTAAGGATAAAGGGGGAGGAGTTAACAGTAGACTGAGCGAGCCTTTAAGCCACCATACCTCTCATGCTAAAGGAGAGAGGAAAGATACGATCATATTATAAGAGCCTCAGACAACAGAGTAGGTGTGAATCTGGTTTACCCAGGCCAGTGGGGAGCCCTTGAGCCACAGCGACCCTTTACAGCCTCCTACTTTGGGCAGCAGTGTGGCCCTGGTTTAGTGCCACCACGCTCAAACATGGGCTGGAGCTTCCCAAAAGAAACATGGCCTGGGGTGAATTTCTTGCAGCCACAAAGGTAAGATAACTGGAGGGTGTCGATGAGCCTTGCTCCCCGTCTCAGATGATTCCCCTGAAGGGTGACCGGAGGTCACAGAACAAGCAACTGCCATATTAAGGATTTTTCAGGGGGCCACAAAGGGATCTCAATTGGGAAGAAACGTGGCCCACCATTCTTAAGTCCTTTGGGTAAACATTACTTCTGCTCCTACCTTAGTTGCGTATTGCTCCTGTGTTGGTGGAGAAGGCAGTTGGGAGGGGCTTTTGACAGAAGGCAGTTAGGAGTAGCCTTGGCTACTGTAGTGACTCCGTCTCCCTCTGTCAGGGAACCGGTGAGAGGATTCCGCCAGCTGCTAAGGACATCTGTTGATTCTTCAGCCAAGGGCCAGGAAGAGGACACCATGCATGGCATAAGTCACGAGGAGGACGTGTGCCAGCAATGTTTGTTACCTTGCCTCTGTCTGTCCCTGCGCTAATGGATGATCACCATCACATTATCTGCCCTGTTATCAATGGCAGCTCAGCAGACCCTGTATCAGAGAACTACTGCTAATATTGGAGTACTTCCCTTTCTTCAGGATCTCAGTATCATTTGAGGAAGGAGTGAGGGAATGGGTTCTATGAATACATGTACGATTGCCTTCAGAGTCTTTGCTTGAGGTGATCTTACTTCCACTTCAGTCAGTGAGTCTGGGTCTGAGAACTGGTCCAGGTCTGGACACTGGGGTGAGAGGGTCACAATTTCCCACTGCAGTCACTAACATTGTTCTTGAGAGCTTTTTTGCTTGCACAAATCGTGCTTGCCCTCAGATACTCATCTGTCTCTCTCATAGCAACATGTTCTAGTAGACATCTTCCCCTGTGGCTGAAAGGTTACTGGGTAGACATTCCAATTTGAGCAACGTCACATTAATTACAGACACTTTGCTTCTGATGGCTCAGTGCTGCCTGTGGACCCTGCCATTCTGGAATCCTGTCATGTCCAGTGAGAGATGGAGTCCAGGTCTGTGGCAGCATCAACCCAGGTCTGCTAGAAGACCGCCACGACAGAGATGCTCAGGGGTAGCAGTGTCCCTTTCACCAGCCGTTCCTTACCAATTCAGTAGAGTACCTCTGGGCCGTCCTAGGAAACATATCCAGCTGGTGGGTTTTATCTTCCAGTGCTTTGGTGGTGTCCTTACTCACTTTATTTTTTTTAATTTTTTAAAAGATTTTATTTATTTATTCATGAGAGAGAGAGAGAGAGAGAGAGAGAGAGAGAGAGGCAGAGACACAGGCAGAGGGAGAAGCAGGCTCCATGCAGGGAGCCCGATGTGGGACTCAATCCTGGGTCTCCAGGATCAGGCCCTGGGCTGAAGGTGGTGCTAAACTGCTGAGCCACTCAGGCTGCCCAGTCATTGCTCACTTTAGCTAAAAGTTGGAACAAATTTCTCAGCATTGTACAGAGCTGCCTTTAATATGTGCAGTAATGAGTCAGTTACCTCTCTGGTAATCTTTCCTCATTTTGGGGAAAGCTCTGCAGTCATTTGAAGGCTACCTGGTCTACTGGTCATGTATCCTTAAACACTTGGAGACCCCTTATGAGTATCCCTAAGATGAACGTGTTTTCAGGTGACAGGACAGTTATGCCTGGTATTCACAAAAATTATGCCAGGAAGGTACACAAAATGCCCCCAAAATGTTGCATTGTGTAAAAGGACCATTGAGGTACTTCCATCAATCATAGCGTATAGGTTGAGAGTAGCTCCGGTATGATTTTCTAAAAGCTGATAGCCTTGTGTTTCTGCATTCCATTCAAATAAAATAATATAGCCCTTGTACTTACTTACAGGGATCAAAGACAGTTCTCTGATTTGTCATATTTGTCTACCCCATCAGTCAGGTGGTATTCGTCCACATCCAAGAATGAGGGCTAGCTATAGAATGGGGATGACAAAGGCACCTGAAGGTTTCTTCAGTGTTTTGCATGGTGCAGGAACTGGGGCCACTCTCATTTTTTTCCAATTACTTCTCAGTAAGGTTAAGTAAGATAGTCAAATCATGGCCAGAGCTGTCTGATAGAGGATGCCAGACTCAATAGTTGGTTAAATTTTAGATGCCTGCAGGAGTTTGGCAATGCTGCATCAGGGCAATGGCCTTCATGAGGAAGGTTCCAGTGAAGTTCTGAAAGATAAAAAAAATCTTTAATGTCCCTCTTTCCCCCAGGTCTGAGGTATTCCCTCCTCCAGTTCCAGGGTTTTCTCTTTCTACTGCCACAAAATTGTTGTCATCCCTGTAGATAAAAAATTTCATTTAAAAATGTTTAAAAAAAAGATTTGAGAGAGAGAGAACGAGCAGTGGGGAGGCATAGAGGGAGAGGGAGAAGCAGACTCCCTGCTGAGCAGAAAGCCTGATACAGGACTGGATTCCAGGACCCTGGGATCATGACCTAAGCCAAAGGTAGACATTTAACCAACTGAGCCACCTAGGCACCACAACATGTTTCTTTTTTTAATTAAGTAGGCTCTATGGCCTACATGGGGTCAAACTCATGATACCAAGAGTCATATGATCTACAATCTAAGACTTCTAGGTACCCCTAAAATCTTTCTAAAATCTACTCATAACTAGCCCTTCGCTCTGGAAGGGACTGGTATGGGTGATTCCATGGCACTTTCATAAAATTCAGTAAGAATTCGGTTTAAGGGGGGCGCCTGGGTGGCCCAGCAGTTGAGCATCTGCTTTCAGCCCAGGGCCTGATCCTGGAGACCCAGGATTGAGTCCTACGCCCGGCTCCTTGCATGTAGCCTGCTTCTCCCTCTGCCGGTGTGTCTGCCTCTCTCTGTGTCTCTCATGAATAAATAAAATATTTTTTAAAAACAATTTTTTTAAAAGATTTTGGTTTAAATTCCCTAAACCTCCTTCTATTCAGGCTGTCTTCCAGAGGATGTACTGCCATGGTGATAAATATACCAGCGGAATAAAGGATGCATCATGCCTAGGAATGGTCACAGCAGAATCCAGAACTTTTAAAATAGTGCTATATTACTTCCCACCCCTTGTGTCCTTATCATTACCAAGGAAAGAAATAGCCAAGATGGTGCTGCGAAGACTAGGGAGACCCCGAGGCCCTAAGGCCTCCTCCGGCCAAACAGTCCCCAGTGTTGCTGGAGGCTCTTTGTCTTGTGGAAAAAGGATGATGATAGACTAAACAAGCAATGCAAGTGAAGCATTTTTTTAAAGTGGGAGTACACTCCAGGGATGTGAGACATGTTCTCTCAAGGGCAAGCTGCATGCCCCCGGGTGTGGGTTTCTAGCTTTTCTTGATAGTTGCTAACTATGGGGTGGAATAGTTATTACTTGGAGAGGAGAGCTTTTCAAGAGCTGGGTTTTGTCCCTTGCCTTGGGCCTGCCTGTTTAACAGTCCAGCTTCTTGTAGCTTTGTCTTTGGGAGTGCTGCCAGCACAGGCCCTTGACTTTCCCAATAGCGGGCCAGGCCCCCCACCTTGGCTGGCCTCCAGGTGTTCTGTTAAAGTCTAATTAACTGCCAACTCTAACAAAAAGGCAATGATCCCTTTTTAGAAATAGCTTCATTGAGTGATGAAATCATCTTACACTCTGTGCAAGTCAATAGGTGAAGGAGGCCGAAGCATCCATCTTTTTGAGTTGAATTCTTGGAGACGCTTCCAAAACTTGAATACTACCATGGCTGTGGATGTTGAAGGTTTGTGGACTACCTTTACTGTCAGCTAATCGTTGAGTGGTTTTAGGGATAAAATGTGTGCTTTGTGTAGATCTCTCGGTCTGTCCCTATTGATACTATTGGCTAGGAATGCCTGGGGGCACTCACCTGCACGTGTACCACTTCTGGTGACTTTACATTTCCCCACCAGAGCCAATGTGGTGGTTCTTATTATGACCACAAGACACACCTTAGCAACAAGCATCAGGAAACGTTGAAAAAGCAAGGTTTATGACTTACAAGTCCTACAGGGATACGTTGCACAACTGGGACCACATAGCCAGGTTAGGATTGAGGGACAGTGCATGTATCTCGGGTTCTATCTTTATTGGGGTTGAGAGTGTCCTGTTTACTCTTTATTGGTGAATTTAAAACAAAAGAGTGGGAATTAAAGTGCAGGAAAGGAAAAGCATTCAAGGGATCAGTTATCTAGATTACCCAGGGCTTTCCAAAAGGGGAACATGATGGGTAGAGTGGCCTGGCTCTTTATCTGTGTAGCTAAGAATATGTTTATTTGAGATGGATATCTTTGAGGTGAGTGGCTCAGCAATCAAAAGTTTACTGTCAGGCACTTAAACTACAATGTGTACTATTGTCAGGCTACAAATGGTTCAGAAAGCTGAACACATGACCCAGATTAGTTTCAAAGGCCCCAACTGTGTGGCTGAGGTTGGTTGATCAGATTGAAACAGCAATACTGTAGCTTCAGAAAGTGTCAACAGTGGCAAAGTACCACTGGTGGCCCCCAAAAAGGATCAAAGTTCTGATGTCAGTTGGCCAGGAGCTTGCAGAGGCAGCACCCATGCAACCTGGGCTCTCTTACCTTGAAACATAAGCTTTTGGCAGGAATCACAAACCTAGCAGGCAGTGGTAGGCTCTGCATCAGAAAGTCTTATTTTCTGCCTCATATAGAATTTCTTTTTTATTACGGTAGTTAATTTTATTTGTTCAAGGCTCATATTGCAAGCATTAAACCAAGCATGGGCTTTGATTCTGTGAGCCCAGATTCACATATTTAGGAAGATAAAAGCAAACTGTGATCCATGTATATGGATGAAAAACTAAAGGCTCACAGTTAATCACATCATGGTTTTAAATTTCTACAGCCTAGAAGCCAGAAGTCACAGATCTTTTAGGTCTTTCTGGATGTCCCACAAGGTATCTGCACTTTTCTTGAGCTGGGCAACCTCATCATCCTTCAGCTTCTGATTGATCACACTGGTTAAGTCCCGAGCGTTCAGGATACATGGAAGACTCAGGAAGACTTCGTTCTCAATACCATACATGCCCTTCACCATTGTTGACACTGGATGAATCCTGGAGATTTTTCAACATGGATTCAATGAGATCAGCCACACTTAATCCAATAGCCCAGTTGGTATATCCTTTTAGCTTGATGACTTTATAGGCACTTTCAACCACCATCTTATGCACTTCCTTCCAATTTTCACTGTCGTTGTCTGTTCCCATTTCTGGATTCAGTTCCTGAAGAGAAACACCTGCCACATTCACTCCACTCCACACAGCCACACTTGAGTCACCATGTTCTCCCAAAATCCATCTATGGCAGCTGCTGGGATGAATGCCAAGTTTTTCAACCATAAGATAGCAAAATCTAGCAGAATCCAGATTACACCCACTTCCAATCACATGGTGCTTGGGTAGTCCACTTAGTTTCCAGGTAACATATGTAAGAATATCCCCTGGGTTGGAAACCACAATTATGATACAATCAGGACTGTACTTGACTATCTGAGGAATAATGAAGACATTAACATTCCTTTGCACCAGATTGAGGCAGCTCTCTCCCTCCTGCTGGTGGACTCCTGCAGTCACCACCACAATCTTAGAATTGGCAGTCACAGAGTAATCTTTATCTGCCACAATTTTAGGTGTCTGTTGAAATAAGCTCCCATGCTGTAGATCCACCATTTCTCCTTTATCTTTTAAAACATCCACAAGGGCAAGTTCATCAGCCACAGACTTTCCCAGAATGCTGATGGCACATGCCATACCAACTTGTCCAACACCCACTACAGTGATCTTATTGTTTGGGATTGCAGCCTCTTCTGCAACTGGTGCAATCAGTTTTTCCTTAAGAGTTGCCATTGTGCCCCGAGACCAGCGGCTGTAAGGGTTGCGCGAAGGAGACCAGGTTAGCTGAGCGCGTCTCCTCCGGCGCAGGATCCGCAAGGAGAGAGGAAGAGGCGGGTCATATAGTAGAAATTGATGCTATATGCTTGTAATTCCTGAACCATAAATTTGTGCTCAATATATGATGGTACAGGTTTTGCCACGATAGTAGTACAAAGTTTTCCATCAGTTTGATTCCTGTTGGTCTCATTAGAAAACCAATCTTTACCAAGGACATCTACATGAGTGACCTGGATGGTTCAGTTCCTACAATTCGTTTCCAGGGTTCATGGCCCCAAAGGGGTGTCATTAATGTGCCAGTCTGTTGTGTTTCTAAGTAGCAAACAGCCAGGCCATTGGCGATAGGGAAGAATCAAGAGAAGAATAGCCAAGGCACAGAGGTGTAAGAGCACCAGCTCTGGCGAAGGAGGTGGGGGGAAAGGGGGAGCAATCCCAAACAAACTAGGTTCAGCCACTTTCT